AAAGTGAAAGGAATCGAACTCCATTCATCTCGCATTAAAAGTGATCACTCGCCATTTGAGCTACATTGCTTATCATGTAATATTTATGCAGAGAAACACCCTTTATTTGTTAAAAATTAGTACAATTTTTATTTATTTATTATTTGTCAAAACATTAAAAGAAAAGATTACAGTGAAAAGAATCGAACCACATTCATCTTGCATGGAAAGTGATCGCTTATCCATTTGAGCTATATTGCTTATTCCATAACATTTATGCACTAACTTTTATATATATTTAATATAAAATCATCCTTTAATTTTTTTTTCTCGACGGATCCAGCATGGGGCGGCCGCTCCGACTCGCTGGGTGTGGACTCGCCCATGCTCATACTCAATAATTTTACATGCGTACACAATTATTGCATAACATGAATCGTTGTTTGATTAACTGATGTTGGTCGATATCTTATTGATTGACATTGTATTTATTTATTCAACTCGACAAGTGAGAAGGACTTGCTCTTCTGGATTTCATGTCTTCACCACAATATTGACCTTGTACTATCATAACTTATTAATCTAATACTAGATCGGAGAACTAATATTTGATATGTTTACGAGCGATTGAAGGTAGCATTAGATCTAAGAATTAGCCATTGAACCCCAACGCTATTTTAGAGACAAGTTTACGCCTTGAACACATCTCGAATCTTTAGTACCTATTTGGTTTAGCTAAAATAATTGATAAAAATTTAAATTAAAGTTAACAATTAATTTTAATCATATTTTTTATGACCACAACTTCTATCAATTTTTTTTTATTATATATTTCATCATTTTTATCAAAATTTATTAAAAAATTGATCTTTAGTGAATCCAAAAGGACTTATAATTCCACAAACTTTTTTCCATTTTCCTTTTGTTTGTTCCAATGTCAAAGATGGTAATCTTTTTGTGATTTTATCCACATCATTGGGAAATGGTATTTGGGACTGTAAATGGTATTCTGCATCCCTATTGATTCAGACTTGACATTAATTTGCTTTGAAGGCACAAAAATCAATTGATGTCATCGCTACTATATTTATGTCTATATTTATCGACAGTCAATTTTAACCGTTTTTAGACTGTGTTAATGTGCAAATATTTTTCTACAACCGTACGTTTGATCCATATTAAAATGGAAAGAATGCATTTTTTTAATGTGATGGTGAATATGTAGTTGAAAAAGAAGGAAAAATTATTGATGTAATGAAAAATATTATTTTATTGAAAAATGTATGATTAAAAATGAATAGAAAAATGAGAATGGAAAAGAGATTTTGGCTCAAACAGTGGCTAAAGACGATTTTCTTATTAGTTAAATTAAGAGTTTGTTTGACAATCATTTTGGTAGGAAAAAGTTTAGATAATGATTTTTAGAAGAACTTGATTTAAAAATAGAAAAAAGTTTTTGGTATAAGTATAAATTATTTTATTGTGTGAATATTTGGTTGAAAATGATCATATAGCGAACCATAAAATAAATTTTAAGAGTGTGACACTAGTACTAAGTATTTTGATTCGAAAAAGATCAAATCCTTGAAAGATCCCCTTACTATCGTTGCCGTTGGCCTTCCACCGAGTATCATCGAACAAAAATACTATCAAGAAAACCCCAGATAGACGAGGTTTCGATTTTTGACTAAAAATTCAGTTTCTTGCATAATTAAAAACTTCTTCTTCCAATGAACCAAACTCCCTTTTCCTCTTCTGTTTTTGTTTTCAGCCATGTACAGGAACTCAGGATTTCAAACTAGAGTGTCAATACCAGCTGCTTCATGTCAGCAATTTGATGAGGTTGGAAATGTTTTCTACGAAGCAGGATCAGACTTTATCAGAACTGAAATTGTAGCTTATAAAGAGAAGATATTAGAATCGGGCTCTGAATATTTTCCAAGCAACGTAAGAAATTATTCATTCTTTACAATAAACTGCCCAATTATTTATTCTGGTGATTCTCAGCAATGAATTTCGTTTCTTTTTATTTTTTATGTTGCGGAAAATGTTATAACAGATAAGCAGATACATATCCAGTCCACGGTATTATTTTCAAGTGAATGACGACTACGTGAAAAACAAGTTGAAAATGGTTTTGTTTCCGTTTCTCCACAAGGTACCTTCCATATAAACAACCTTAATTTATGCATTTTTGTTGTACATATTTATGCCAAAAAACTGATAAATTTCACATGATTTCTATTAAAATATTTGTTCTGATTTTTAATATTATATGATATTTTTATTTATTTATTTTTTGTAAATTTGAAGGGACATTGGATGAGATCAATGGAGCCTGCGGGGGGTGAATTTTCATTCAAACCTCCAATTTACGATATAAATGCACCAGATTTGTACATTCCTATGATGGCATTTGGTACATATTTGATTCTTGCTGGTTTCTTTTTGGGCATCAATGGCAAGTAAGTTCAAATGTTCGATTTTGTGATGTTAGTCGAGCAATGTCTTGACTCGTTAAACTATTCAAAAGCACTATATGTACTCTAATTATGATACACTCGATAAGTTAGACTTGATTAAGGAACAATGTAGCGTCGCAAAGTATGATTGGCTAAGATTGAATAACTTGGACTTGATTAAAATTAGTTTTTATCCTCCAAAAATAACATACTTTTTAAGTAAAAAGTTATTTCGTTTAGAGTAGATGTTACCTTTACTGTCAAATTAATTTTTAGCTTTGACAAATAAATTTTTTTATAAGTAAACTTCTTAAGTTTAGGCAAACATAAAGTTTTGCTATTCTGATAAAAATTTAAGGTTGGTCACATCAATCACTTTCTGCCACTTAAATCGATTATGTAACTTGTTTCATATAGTGAAAGATTCAAAACATCAAAATTCTTAGCAATCACAACAAATTAGTTTGGAAAGAGAGTCATGCAACAAAATTTGCTTATTATTCTACCCAATCCAATTTAGCATGCCGAAGAAATCTTATAAAACTTCTAATCGAATGGCGACTTTTAGGTTTAGCCCAGAATCCCTTGGCGTACAGTTTACGACAGGATTGCTCTGTTGGCTTCTCCAAGTGCTATTGCTCGAGGCAACATTGCATTCCTTAGGAGGAGGAGAGATACCATTACTAGACATGGTTGCCTATGCAGGATACACTTTCGTCTTGGCATCTTTAATTGTGGCCTTTAGGCTATTGTGGGATGGCTTTTTTTGTGCAGTAACTTTGTGGGAGAGCTTGTGCATGGGAATTTTCTTGGTGAAGACGATGAAGAGGATATTAATTTCAGAAGTTAGAAGTTTTGAGAAGCATTCTACAAAAAGAAATTATCTTTTGCTTTTAATGGCTTGTTCTCAAATTCCTTTGCTTTTTTGGCTTGGAAATATTGTGGGTTTTGAAGCTCATTGAAGTAATTTGTATTTACTTTTGCATTCACGATTGAGTTGAAACGTCGGAAGTTGGAAGAGTCTGTATTACAGTTTTAGTTTAAAAAGGGATGTAACAGTGAATTCTTAATCTTTTATGCTCGTTATCATATTAATGATTCTTTTATAATTCATCACCCCGCGAATAAAAAATTATGATCTCATAGTTCAATCTGACTATTATATTTTTATAGTACTTAGTAGAAAAATTATTTTCATTATCAATCGATAAACTAACAAATGTTCATTTATGGATAAATCAATAATTTCTTTAAAATATTAATTTTTTTCGATTCATGATTATTATTTTATAAAGGTTTTATAATTATTATTTATAAATAAATAAATAAGAATTCTTACAAGAGAAAATTTGAAGTTAAAACAAAATATGAAAATAAGCTCCACGAGGCATGAACATTATTTTTGGCCGACCAAATCCAAGTCAAACTCCACCTCTTCATATATAAACCTACAACATTCGCATTATTTATTTGGATTCTTCTTTCTTTCTTTCTCTCTTTCTTTTTTCCATTTCCTTTTCCTTTCCGTTTCTTCAGAATTTCTCAAATTTCCCTCAAGAGGTAAAAGGATAGTTAAATCGATGACGTTTTATTACTCATCTCTCCGTTAGATCTTGCTTTTCTTTCTTTTTCCTTTTTCAAGTAAATTTAGAAAAGGTTGATTTTTTGTTTTGATCTGTTGCTTTACGGATTTAATTTTTTGAATTTGAATTCACGCCGGGTCTGTCGTTTTGGTGAAAATTTCGTAGACAATTCATGGAATCTGCTCTTGATTTCTGCTTGATTCTGATGGGAATAATAATTTTTTCTCTTTTGAAGCATGAATATGGACTCAAATCGGTACCGGAAATGATCAGTTAATATTCGATGAATTTCAATTCCAGGAATTCATACTTCCAAACATAGCGTTAGGCTATCCTCATATCTGTTTGAGTGGATACGTATTCGTGTGGTGTATATATGCGTGTGTTATTGTACATAAATAGGCACGAATGTAAGGTTTTTATGAAAAGGTTTCTCTGTTGGAAACCTTGTGTATGATTGAAATAGAAATTACATGCTATGATCTAATTATTTTTGCTTCTCATAATGCTGTATCTTGTACAGCTTCTGATCCGCCTCTGTGCTATTATATCCGAAATTGAAAATGGATTTAAAGCTTGAAAATTTGAAATGATATCTTCAGATTATCTTATTTATTGGCCCGAATTAATGTTTGCTAGACAAATCTATGCTTCCACCACATATTCTTGGGTTATTTATAATATACATTAGCTTGTTGAATTTCAATTAACTTGTTAGTTGAGTGACCCCACCCTGAATTCAGGTTTAGTTCCTTGGAAAGTTTTCACAATAGGACAAAAGTAATGTGCTCATAGACGAATCTATGTTTTCCACATACTCTCTTGTTTCTTGTTATATACGTCTCTAGAATTTGAATCAAGTTGCCAGTCGTATGATCCTGTATTCAGATTTGCTTCCTCAAAAAGTAATTTGTAACTGCGAAATACTCATCTATTTAATTTTTTGTTTCAGGATAAAAATTCTTGAGTTTTAGATATGTTAGAGCAGTTACTGATTTTTACTAGAGGAGGTTTGATCCTCTGGACATGCAAAGAGCTTGGAAATGCTCTAAGGGGTTCACCTATTGACACCTTGATTAGGTCTTGCCTTTTGGAGGAAAGGTCAGGTGCAGCATCATACAATTATGATGCACCCGGTGCTTCATATACACTTAAATGGACATTTCACAATGAACTTGGACTTGTATTTGTTGCTATATATCAGCGGATTCTTCATCTCTTGTATGTGGACGACTTGCTTGCTATGGTTAAGAAAGAATTCTCGGAGATCTATGATCCTAAGCGTACTTCATACAATGACTTTGATGACATATTTCTGCAGCTTAAGAAGGAAGCTGAGTCTCGTGCAGAGGAAATGAAGAAATCAAAGCAGGCGAACAAGCCTGTGAATAATAATGTTGGTAAGAAACAAGGAAAGGTGCAAAATGGTAGTATGGAAGGAGGCAATAAAAAAAAGAGTGGAGGTGAATCTGGAGATGATGGTGGAGATGGCAACAAGTTTAAAGGTCACCCATTAGAAAACGGAAATAACCATGTTGGAAACGGGGAAGTGCCCACAAGGGGTAATAGTAAAGAGAATAAGATCTCTGATACTGGGGCTTTTGATGTAAATAAACTCCAGAAGCTTAGGTCTAAAGGTGGAAAGAAAACTGACACTTTTGTTAACAAGGGTTCCAAGGTAGAACCCAATAAAAAGGTAACTAAAAAGAACAGAATTTGGGATGATTCACCTTCAGAGTCAAAATTGGATTTTACTGATCCAGTGAGTGAGAATGGGGATGAAAATATAGCCGTTGTAGTAGCAGATCAAGGTAAGAGTATGATGGACAAAGAGGAGATTATTGATAGTGAAAGTGATACTGAGGATGAGGAAATGACTAAGGATAATAAGGTAGAAACAAAGAAGAAAAGTTGGTTCTCATCCATGTTCCAGAGGTAAACTCTTTATCTTGCACTAAATTCGGGTTGAAATTTGTACTTGCAAACTTATTCATTTCTTAGAACATATATGTAACCTAGTTAGCTTCTTCATTCTCTTTGAAACAGGATCTTTTGTTTTCATATTTGTCTATGGGGTTTTTGTTGCCCTGCATGTGTAACTATTAGTTGTGCCATTAAAGAGATTGGGTTATTTCATGTTTGGGCCAAAATGATACATTTTATTTTCCCGTAGGTTCAATCGTTTTGATGTTGTATAATTTAGAAAGATCTGATAAGCTTAGTATAGGTGTATAGCGATGCCTCATAAAACTTAATTCTGTTGTACCTAAGAACTTCGTCAGAGCTATCATGTGGCATTATGTCCTCAATTTCAATGATGATTTTGTGGTATCTAAAGCCTAGAAATTAAGGTACACTGAACAATTGCCTCTGAGAATCAACCTAAAAGTTAAAAGAAATAACTCCGAAGAAGATAAATATATGTAGAAAAGATTAATGCACGAAATGAGAGAAGAAATAAGTATTTAGTGTCCTTTTATAACTTTTGAAGCATGCAAATGCTGAGATCTGATGTTTGGAAATTTTCGTGTTCATAATTTGATTACCTAATGATTATTCTTCTCTTTTTTTAAATAATGATATCTTGCCAGTATCATAGAAGTGCTACAGAGAATTTAGGAGCTCATAGTTTTAGTAAATCAGCTTTTGATAAAAAAACTTTTTGTATATTTCAAAAACCTAATTATTGTGAGAATTCTTTCTTGCTGGGGCTCATTAAGTGGAGATCAAGTTGTTTGCCGTGTTGTCTGCCATCTTGATTAGACTTGCTTATCATCTTTGTAAACAATGAATTTGGTAGAATTTGTGGACATGCAAATCACTTTTGACTCATTATTGTGGGTTCAGTATCGCTGGAAAAGCAAATTTGGAGAAATCTGACCTAGAACCAGCTCTGAAAGCTCTCAAGGACAGGCTCATGACCAAGAATGTGGTATGTTAATTAGCTTTTGCTGTTTACTGTGTCTCTGTTTTACTTTTACAATACTGTTTCAAGATGGGGCCAGTACAGGAACCATAGTTTTTATGTTCCTTCCTTTGCTTAAAGCTATTTTATTTCTGTTCAGGATAGTTTGTCAGTCTGACTCTTGAAATGACTTAATGATATTCCTTGGACAGGCAGAGGAAATAGCTGAAAAACTTTGTGAATCAGTTGCTGCAAGTCTCGAAGGCAAAAAGCTAGCCTCTTTTACTAGAGTTTCTTCGACAGCGCAGGTAAACAGACATGTCCTACCCATTCCCGTCGAGGAGAACCCACAAAGGAAAGGAAACAAGGAAAAACATTGTGCTTCAGCAATATCAGAGACGTGCATCTTTAGGAAAAGGATACCTAAGCTAATAATTTTCTTGGTTACATCTCTGTTTTATTTCTAGTAGTAATGTATTTGATTGAATTGATGATACCAGGCGGCTATGGAAGAAGCCCTTGTTCGTATATTAACTCCCAGGCGCTCCATTGACATTTTGAGGGATGTTCATGCTGCCAAGGAGCAAGGGAAACCGTATGTTGTGGTTTTTGTTGGAGTCAATGGAGTTGGGAAATCTACCAATCTTGCAAAGGTGAAGTATGATAACATAAATTGATGCTTGTTGCCCTGCAGTTGTCTTATCACTTTCACGCCTTACCACTATGCAGGTTGCTTACTGGCTTTTGCAGCATAAGATCAATGTCATGATGGCGGCTTGTGACACATTCAGATCAGGAGCTGTTGAGCAGCTGCGTACCCATGCACGTAGACTCCAGGTATACTATGTTGCCACTGGCCCAAAGCTTTATATTTGCTTGAGATCTTAGTCTCACTCTAGTAGCAAGAACTTGCTTTGAAGTGATAGTTGACTTTCAACTGAATGCCCTATCAGATCCCAATATTTGAGAAGGGTTATGAGAAAGATCCTGCAATTGTGGCAAAGGAAGCAATTCAGGAGGCAAGTCGAAATGGTTCAGATGTCGTTCTGGTGGATACAGCTGGACGAATGCAGGTATATGTAGTTATATTAACAAAATCTGATGAATGAACCAATATAAGCGTTGTTAAGGTCAGAAACATTTGTCAAATGAATTTTGCATGGTATCCCGAGAATGATTCTGCATCTTACTGCCGAACTATTTTCAGAGTCTAGTTTTCTTCCATGTATGTCAGTTGTTATTCATACTTTTGATTATGCTTTACAGGACAATGAACCATTGATGAGAGCTCTGTCGAAGCTTATTTATGTTAATAGTCCAGATCTCGTTTTGTTTGTTGGTGAGGCACTTGTGGGGAATGATGCTGTGGACCAGTTGTCAAAGTTTAATCAGGTTGATATTATAGATTAACTGTTAAAACTTAAACATATTGCCTACTCACTTTTCTTCAACGTTAACAAATTTTCATGATTTTCTTGCAGAAACTAGCTGACTTCTCACCCTCACCAAATCCCAGATTGATTGATGGAGTCCTTCTCACTAAGTTTGATACCATCGACGATAAGGTGTGGGCTTTCATTTTATTTAGTCCTTACCTTTTCTTTTCATTTACTTTGGAATGGACAAAGCATTAGTATCTCTTTTATGTAGTATATTTGTAATGTTATGGTCCATGATGTAGGTGGGAGCTGCACTGTCTATGGTTTATATTTCTGGAGCACCTGTCATGTTTGTTGGATGTGGACAGTCTTACACAGATTTGAAGAAGCTCAATGTCAAATCTATTGTCAAAACACTCCTTAAATAAGATCGTCTGGTCTTCGACCTTGAAGTCTTCTCGACTGTGTCATCAAGTATCTAAATCTGTTATTTATCGTTGCTATGTTTGTGTACTGTCGTGAGATCTCACTACTTTGACGCTACGGTGAATTATCTCAATAAGAATTTGTTAATGTCTCTCTCATTCACTCTATTACTTCATGCAGTTAGTTTGATATATTAGTCTTTTTCGATAAATTGTTTGTTAAATGGAAGAACAGTATCGTTATTTGCTCTCATATCGTGACCTTTAGTTGCTGTAATATGCATATAAGTTTCCATGTGGGTTTATTAATTGTCTTTTGTTTCACATTGTTAGCCTACTAGACACATAATGCTTGCAGAAATTTCTCGTCTCATTCCACAAGAACAGAGGTTTTGTCTTGGTTCCTTTCTGGAAGTCACAGCTAGTGATGTGAATCCAAGCATATGCCGAGTCCTGACCTTTGCTCGTAGGATGAGTTGAGAAATTTCTGCACATGATTGAGCGTTATTTAGAGTACCGATGAGACCTTCAAGACAATCAAGACCTCGTCTGGGTGTGGGGGCAATGTACGCATTTTTGAGCATAAGAATGACAAAATTATTGCAGATATCGGTTCGAAAGGGCGCTATACATTGTGTATGAAATGCCCATAAAGCTTTTTAAACCAAGACTTCTTTATGAAGTTATAATTTGGCATGGGATTTTGATAGCTCAAAACAAGAAAAAATCTCTCTGATAAAGAAGGGTTCGTTGTTCCCAACATTTTGGCCTTCATGATTCATCGTTTGGCATGAAGTTAAGAATACTTTTATATCTCATTCCACTTTGCTGCTTCAAAAACAAATATGAATTTCATTGGATTTCCTGTACACGTAGCATGATTGTTTTTCATTTTTTCTTTTCAACCACATTTTTCAATAAAATAATATTACTTACGAATCCAAAAATTTTCCTTCAATTTCAATCACATTCTCCATCAATTTATCATTTCAAAATGCATTTTTAAGAAAAATGGAACTCAAAAAGGCTCGAAAATAGCAATAAATAACATGGAATTGCTTGTATATTATTCTAAAAGCATTAAACTTCAGCTTTGTTTACATATTTCTCTTTTACCCCTATTTAAAAAAAAAATAGTGACTCAGTCAGAGTTCTTAAAAATCTCGATTCATGCTGTACATTGATTTTGTAAAGGAGGAGGATGAAAGGTTTGATTGGTGGTTGGATTTCAATAGTAAATAATTTAAGAATAAGACAGATGTTCAACAACAATCCGTTGTAGTCTAGTTGGTCAGGATACTCGGCTCTCACCCGAGAGACCCGGGTTCAAGTCCCGGAAACGGAATCACCTTTTAAATCTTTCTCTTTCTTATATTTTATTGGGCCGGACAATTGTCGTTTGGGTTTGAGACTGACCCAATTAAATCAAAGTTTTTTTTTGGAGCAAGTCCAGTGAATTTTNCCGTACTCCCTTCACCTACGCCCTTTCTGGATGGCAAAGAATCATATAACAGCTCAAATTTATCTGCTTTAGCGGCGGCCAGCCTCTGCAGTGTCCTGTGAGAAATACTTGCTGCATTGTGCTGCGCACACGCGGTGAGAGTGCAGGCGATTTTCTTATAGTTAGAATAAAACATAGCACTTTATGTTGAATGTTAAATTTTTGGAATGCCCTGTTCGTGTTGTATGCTCTTAGTGGAATTGATTTATTCTTGATTAAATGACAATTGGTGTTAAAAAGAAATAATTCGTTAGTGGAAATGCAGCAGAAGTTAAAAGAATATTATGGGCAATATAGATTTGGGCATAATCTTTGGGTAAAGGTTGTGTATTCCTGTACCAGACCTCATAAATTTGTCCGGAAATGTTTGAATGTGCAACTGAAGAAAATGTGAAGGGTATCATTTTGCTGATCTTGCTTGATTGCTCTCAAGGGGAAAAGTAGGACAGGACAATAGCGAATGCTCTACCTTTTTGTTTCACAAAAGACGATTGTTTGGGCCAACCGTTTGCATTCTTATTATTTTTTCATAGGACATCAACACCGGTTAGAAATATTGGCACTTGTTATTTGTATTAAATATTGTTTTCTAGAAAACCATTTCAATAACTGAGAGGAATGAACTGATATATTGGGAGACTGCTTGGACTAGTTTTAACCTTTTTATTCTACATGCTGGTTAACAAGTTTAGAGAGACTTGACACTCTGTACACTGTTTTGTTTGGTTTGAGATGCTTCTCTCCATATTATAATATTAAAATATCCTACTTGGCTCACTGCCAAGCAAAATATGTGCCAATTGGAGCTTCACCTGAGAAAGACTGAATTTGGTGCAGCCGCTGCTCTTTATTAGGACGGGTCAATGAATTGTTATCCTGACTCAAACACTCTTCCAGCAATTGTTCCCACTGTTCTCAAAGAATTAGGTCTGGAAACTTTGCAGAAAAATGTAAATGATGGGGGATTTCTGCAGAGATGGGAAATCCTTGGGCTGCTTGCTTTACACAGGCAGCAGCCATTTTATAACAAATAGCAAACAACAAATTATTTTGCCAGCTTCTGCCTTTGCAGGAAGAGTATATATTGTTAATTGCAATATATATGACGGAACAGTTGAGAGTATACAAAATTCAGCACTTCACAAGATAAGAACTCTAGCTGTGACAAATAGGAAAGTATCTTAAAACATATTTCATCAATAAAAGTATCATTTCAAGAATTGTTCTCGTTATAATTAAAATGGGACAGTTCAGGAACAAGAATTGCTCTAGGATCCTATTTAAAGTTTCCATACAAAACCGAAATTATAAATGCAAAGGAGATGAGCAAGATAACTTCTATGTTTAGGGAGTTCAAAGGTTAACTTTTGAAAAAGACCCCAGGAGTTTAATGAGCTTTCTTGAGGGACTATAAACACTTACTCACGTGCCATTACTTAGTCAATCTTCACCGACGAGTAGATGAGCCTTGTAAACCAGAAACATGCATAGAAACCAATTGTACCAGTCAGCACGAAGAAAGCATATGAAGCAATCAGCATGTACCCAAAGTAGAGAACACCGGATACTGGTTTTGTGATGTCGAGCTTTGTGAAGAAGTAAAAAGCCGCATAAAGGAAGAGGTAGAGTGCTGATGACCCTGATGTCAGATATGATCTCCACCACCAGAGATAATCCTCACTGCACAGCTGGAAATAGCAAAGCACAATTGTAATCTCAGCACAGGTGATGATTAGGATTACGAACACAAGGAAGAGGAACCCGAAAATGTAATAGAACTGATGCAACCAGATTGATGTTAGAATGAAAAACAGCTCGATAAATACTGCACCAAATGGGAGTATGCCTCCAATTAGGATAGAGAAAACTGGGTTCATGTACCAGGCCTGCTCAGGAATTTGCCTTGGAATCTTGTTGGTTTTCACTGGATCATCAATAGCTGGCTTCCTAAACCCTACATAACTACCAACAAAGACAAGAGGAACCGAAATACCAAACCACAAGAACACTAATGCAAACATGGTTCCAAATGGCACGGCGCCCGAGGATTTCTCGCCCCAAATTATAGCATTCAATACAAAGAATATGGCAAAGACAATCCCAGGGAAGGTGAAAGCGGTTTGAAGAGTAATTTTCTTCCACTCTGTTCCTTTGAATATCTTGTAAAGACGAGATGCAGCATATCCAGCAAACAGGCCCATGAATGCCCAGAGAAGAAGCATAGCTGTCATCAACCCTCCTCGGTTAGACGGGGATAAGAATCCAAGTGCAGCAAAGATCATGGTAACTAGTATCATCCCAAAGAACTGAACGCCAGTTCCAACATAAACACACAGTAGATCAGAGTTTGTTGGAGGCCTGAAAACGTCTCCATGAACTAATTTCCATCCAGTTTCTTCTTGAGCTTCTTCCTGGGTCTCTAACTGGTTGTACTTAGAGATGTCACGGTAGAGGGTACGCAACATAATCATGGCCACCATACCGGAGAGGAAAAGAACAATCATCAATGAATTTACAATTGAGAACCAGTGAATTTGATCATCAGCCATCAAAAGATAAGTATCCCATCTGGATGCCCACTTGACTTCGCTCTCCTGCAAGGCAAGGAGAAAGGTACAATGACACACAACCCTAAAAACAGCTTTCCATCATATGGTTATTCAATATTACCTTAAACTCAACATCGTACGTGAAGATTATTTCCTTCTTATCTTCAACCTCCTGAGGAGAATCAGAGCTGGTTATGGTGCGTTTTGCATGAGGATCACAAGTTGTTAACCGTGTTTTATCATTCCATTTACCCTCATATTCATGCTTAGCACTGGATGCACAAAGGAAATCCAGCATCAGAAAAAGGCCCAAATTACTGCTGATGCACAAATGTAACACTCATCAAAATATTACCTGAATGGTTTGACTTCAAATCCCACAATTCTTGCAGCATCAGCCTCTTCGTCTTTATGAAATTTCACAGTAAATGTCAAATGGTTGTAGATAAAATACTTTTCTTCCTTACTCTAAGCAAACAATTCAGGAGAAAAAAAGGTGTCAAGAAGTTCCTTAAACAAAAAGAGATTTACTACTACTGTGAAAGCAAATCAAGTTAATACTTACTCCAGCATACTGTGCTTTTACACCAACAGGCACACCGTGTTGATACACTGAGGAATCTGTATCAGGTCTTTTATAAGGCACAACTAGAGGGAGATTATCTAAAATCCTGATAAAAACAACAAAAGTAGAATATGAGTCATGTAAGGCAATATTATTAGAATACATCAGATTCCTAAAAAAGGTGGCTTACATGTTCACCCGGTATTCATCATCTATCTTCTCCTTGAATTCCTTTGCAAGTTTGGCATCAAGTGTGATACGGCAAACAACATTGCACATTTGTGGTTCTCGCATTTTGAACTGCAACAATAAACTTCAGTTAGGAGGAGTTGTTTATAATCAGTTTAATTATAAATAGATAGAAATGAGTTTTGGAAAGTAGGTAATACTTGTAGGTCTCACAAAATGTGTGGATAAAAACTGGTTTAACCGATTATAAACAAATAATAAACAGATGTCAAACAAGCACTTAATTTTTATGCATCATAAAAGGTTTATTATCTATTGTTTGAAAATTGACCCAAAGGAAATAACGAGGTGAGTTGTGTTAGTTGATCAAGGTATAAAAGAAATGAAAAAAATTCAACAGAAGGCCATTAGAAAGACTGACCACATAGGGGGAGTTCTCAATACGATCACCACGAAGAACTTCTCCAAGATTCTCTGCGCTGTCTACAATTTTTTCTGGCTTGCAGTAAGGAAGAGAATAGTAGGAGTAAGGAAGTTGAGTTTTAGTGGAGGTCAGTTTGTTTACTTTCACCTTCAGAGGATCACCCTGCATAAGAAGAAAAGTAAACAAAACATGCAATCCACGTTACAAAAACTGAAGTGAAGAGAAAAGTAAAAGCATTACACACAGGAGAATGCACACACATGCATATTTACTGCATAAAAGCCATTTGTTCACAAATTTGGTACTGAGGTCTTTATTTGGGCACCTGAAGGTTACCAATGTATAATTTTTTAAATAGACAAGCATATCTGGCTTGTAATCGAGAAAACCAAGTGATGCCAAAATAATAATTGACCACACTCGACTTGATATATTACATATATATTCAAAATGCAAGGACAATTCTTTACTAATTTGTCAATGCATTATCATGTTACTTTGCTGCGACAAAGCTGTCTTTTAGTCATAAATATTTGTCATTTCTCATGTGCTTTCTTCTGACAAAATGTTGCTCAAGGTTCATAAAATTTATGAAATAACAGAACTCAAACAGAAACTTCAACTGGTGAAAAATAGATTGTTATTTCATGATATTCCCAAGAATAGTGCAACTTTCCATTTTTTCACAGTCAGAGAGAATTAAACCCTCAAACAGCAAAATCGCAGTTACTATTACTACAAAAATAAGCCATTCACAAATCCATCATTTCTGAATACTTACAAGAATACATGTAAACTCAGATCCATAAAACTCAAAACTAAACTCAAACATAAATCACAAATAAAAATAGTGAACAAGATCTTCAAGTATAATCAACAGCAATAAAAAGAAGAAGTTAAACATATAGAAGGACTGACCTTCACAAAATCCTGAGGAGCAACACCGGGAAGGTAGAAAGAATGAACGTTGGTGATGAACAGAATAGCCATAACGCAAAAAACCCATCGCTGAATCGCGGGAGGCCTTTTTCCTAAGACCTCCATTTTCTCCCAAGAACTCGCCCACAAGATCTAGATCCAGAAATTCTAACACGAATTAATAAATATGTGTATAATATATTAGAATATATATATGTGCAAGAAGATTGAGAGACACGGGAAGAACGAGGAGGAAACTACAAGCAAAGTCCGTAGCCAACTGGATATGAGAGGTGGAATTGGAAATGTTTCTTCTTCAGATTGGTTTCTACGGACGTGATTTGTTCTACGCAGATCTAATGGAGCGATGTAATTTTTGGTCAATATATATAATTATAACCTACTAAAATGACACCTGATCTAGGAATCAATGCTGGGTTATAAAAATTGTGAATTTCATTTGTGGTTAAAAATAAAAAATTGATAAAACTTTAACAAAATTTTATTAAAAATGGTGTAATTAGCCCCCATTAAATTCCATTCAATTTTTCTCTCTCTTCATTACAACCACACATTCATCAAATAAATAATATTACACAAAAATCTAAAACTTTTCACTATTTTTTCACCACACATTCTTCCATCAATCACTATTCCAAATATTTTCAACTATAAAAAATTGCACAATAATGGGTGTCATACCGATAAATGAGATAATACACTATTATGCTATTAAAGAAAGCACGACTCAATTGATTAAGACATATATTGGATTGCACAAGTTGATATGTTCAGTCACAATTCCGATGTTGAACGCTAGTAGTATTCGATGACAATAGAAATAGATACGAAAATAAATAATAAGTTAATTAAGTATAAGAATATATAGTTCATTTATTGGATCGATACTATGTTTTTGGATGGACTCAAATTAGTAAAATTAAATTAGAGGTCGAAGTTGTATATATTAAAGTCAGCAATTAATTTTTTAGTGTAAAATGATTTTGTTTCATCATACAAGGACTTGAATAATGCTATTCATAGTCAGCGAGCGACTGCAGTAGTCATTTTATGTGACAACTTGTTATTTGAGGTATTTAATTTCCTGTAATTCTCAAATAACAAGTTGCTACATAAGATGACACCGCAGTTACTGATTATGAATAATATTACTTACATGATGTTGAGTCTATTGTCCTCAACATCAAGAATTTTGATAGAAAGAAAGTTTTAATCAAGGTGTACGTGAGAGAGAATGAGGGGAAAATTAGAGAAAAAGAAGTGCAATCAACTGTGCATTGAAAGCTATAATCTGTGTAGCAGAAGTTGAAAGACTAAAAAGAAAACATTCTCAATTAATAAAATCTTCTTCTATGTGGTTGGTGATTTATTGAACCATGTTTAATTTGTACTCTTCTCTTTTGACTTGTCTTTGGATTTTCATTTCCGTTGTACTATGGTGCTAATTTGCACTACTCGTTCAAGCATATTGAGTTGTAATGTGATTCACAGAGGGTATGTCGCGGTTAACCATGACAATTCTGGAGTGTAGCTTCCTTCCATGGCAAGATGAGCAGTATGTACGAAGTCCGTATAGCTAACCAGTAATTACTAGCTTTCTAGCTTCGTGTTGCAACCTACAATTCGAGTCAACGAAAGAAAGATCTTGAAATTCTTTTTACTTTCCACAGCTACCAAGACATTGAATCTAGTAGTAAGAAGAATGATTTAACTTTTGATCCTAGGTAAGGTTTGTCAAGGATGTTAACATTTTTTCTCTCCAGTTAATTATGGTAAAATGTACAAGCAAATCAAAGCAAGAACTTGAGAACAGGGAATACAGGAAACTTGAAAAATATCTTTTTATTGGAAAAGAGATAGTCAAGCACTTAAATATAATCCGCCATCTTCAACACCTTGTAGGCACTACTTACGCACCAATCCTTGATGGAAAAACTCGAGATGTTTAGCATAGTGAACAAATACGAAGATGCATTAAAAGTAGAAAACCGAAAGATTGATTAACATTGTACTAAAACAAAAGGACCAAAACCCAGGTGGGAGATGGTGGTTTCAGTCCTGAGTGGGTGGCTCGATCAGTCTCACAGCACGGGGAAGCATAAATTCAGCAAATATAGGATAGTGAGACGAAGGATAAAGTCCATCAACATTATCATTCACGATCTCACACGAGACAGGTACCAGTGATCTACCTCTGAAAAGAATCCAATCGACGTGCAGATCCTGCGTTTGGCGATCCCAGCAGAGGCAAAGTGCTCTGAATATTAACTTCAGGAATTCCAGAGCCCCCTGCTTGTCACCTGACACAATACATGTATACAACATGGTTTAGAGTTTAGTCCATTAGAAGTAAATGTTAGCGTGGGGAGAAATCATCACCTTTAAATCCGTGATACGTACGAATTAGAGAAACATTTTTCCTCACCCGAGCATTCGGCCATGCATCCCTCATATCACCTACAACACCGTGTTCTCTATAATAGATAACGAAAAAGAAGTAAGCAGCTATCCAGTGTTCCAGATAAGACTAATATCTCGCAAGAGGAAAAACACAAGAAGGAATTTCGGGACAAAAAGTACCAGCACTCTGAAAAGACAAAAGGGTTCTGTAATCCTTCTTGTTTATATCAATTTTACACCTGCTCCATTTCTTCTGCAATTATCTAAAACTTGCCATTTTTTATTAGCAACACAAATTCATAAGGCTCACAAGTGCCCACAACTCGCAACTGACAAACTTTACTTTCGGATACATGAAAAATATAATCTTAACTGGTCAAGTTTCAGAATAGTTATCTAGGATCAAGACAATGGCAGTTATGCCATTGTGAGCTCTGTGAATTCGGGTCAAGTGAACTGTTTGTTTGTAATATTCTCAAGTGAAGGTTCAACAGAACCAGAATGACTAGATTCATATGAATATAAATGCTATCGACCAAGTTGAGCTATATTAGACTATTAGTACGAAAAAATAAAAGAGGATAAATTTGATAAAAGATGAACTGCATATAGAAACTGAAAGTAATACCTTGATCGACCAAGAAGAAAACGTCCAGTAGTCGATTCCTTTTGTGTATTAAATCCTCCACAATATACCACAGGCAAGCTAGGAGGTAAGGATGCAATATGCTGCCATGTGAGCAAAGCACCCCGCCTACGAGCACGAGGACTGAACTCATCCATCTTTGTATTCACGATTTCAAACGAAAAACCCGGTGGCTCAACTCCTTTTAGTTGGAATGTGTACACAATTTATCAAGGCAAAAAAAGTTCGCACAGTTATTGCATGCAGTAGTACTATGCGGCAAATAATAATGTAAGACACCTTATAGAGGTGCAAAAAGGATATAGCCCATGTAGCAATGCATGGATCTGCAGACCCCCATGACGTGCTTCCAGGCACTGAAGGAGACTCTGACAACCAAAAAGTTCCACCTTCCAGCAGCTCAACCTGCATCAATTAGGTAATGTATTATATAGAAAGTATATTTTTACTTCTGCTGATAAAGAAAAGGAGAAGTTTAGATATTTCACCTTTTCCTTATCATAAAAGATAGTGCAATGTTGATCTGAAGTGTCTTCAGATCCTTTCCTTGATATTCCAAAATGTTCATAATCTATTTCATCGGCGAGAATGAGTTGCACAGCATATGTAATATACCAATTCAAGAGAAATGAGTACAAAGGAATTTATAACATTTACTCGCAATTTCCACGTAATATAAAACAATGCCATCAAAACAGTTATTATTTGGATGAATGACCAAGACTTAGAAAACATATGGAATCGATGCTCAAAGGATAATAGCTTTTTACCTTATATATCCGGATACCTACTGATGGCATCCTCCTTGTACACCCACTACCGCTACCCTACATGATAGTTGTTCAAATGATATCTAGGCTTGAGCCCAAGCTAACACTTAGCAATGTGAGACTTATTGCACCATGCTCTTCTGTAGCGGCATGGAATAGAGCTTCTATAAAGCATGGGAAAGGCATGCTTTATTACGTTGCATTTGTATATTGTGACCAAGAACTGATTAGTTTATGATCGTACAGAAGTTGTACAAATTTGTAATTGTTACAAGGTTATACAATGTCATTTTACTGTTCCTATCACTTTCAGCATTACTGTTTATGAACAACAGAACGGAATCAACAATGGAAATATAGCTTCGATTCCTATTTTGCTTCTTAAATATGCCAAAAATTGGATATCTCAATTTTATTCTATTCCATTCCATTCTTTCGCAAATCCATTCAACCATACACAATGCAGCCATTTATCTGTGCACACTTACTCGCCTATCCCTTAATAACTCTGCATTTTAGAAATTTAGAGCTAAAGTATAAACTCCTATCAATCTGTTTGAAATATTATCTCCGATGGTTTATTCCTGCTCATCTCCTCCATCACTTTGTGCAAGTCATATGTGTTCATTTATGCTATTTACACGCTGTACAGTGTACTGGCTCATCTGAAAACCAAATGCTAGTATGACAGTGTATGGAGTCCAGTGTGGTAAATTGACCTAATTGGGTTACAAATCGACTAAGAGCCTGTTTGACAACCATTAATTTGCTACAAGACCATTTTCAACCACATATTCAAACAAAATATTCTACACGTATACCAAAAACTTGTCCCTACTTCTTAACCACACATTCTTCAAAAATCACTAATCAAAACTCTTTTTTCTACAATAATAGTTGTCAAACAGGCTCTAATTAGACTGTTAATTTATTATCCAAATTTGAACAACTTTCCATTTGACCCCCAATAAACAATAAAAAGTTCTAGAAGAAATAATTGTTTGGACAAAAATTAATACATAGATACACCACATATGGCCATGCTATCAAGCAAGACAGAGTCTACCAGGAAACAGCTGATATAGTGAAAATCTCAACTCGTTAAACTCGAGGTGATCCAAAAGTATGCATCAATTTTTGCAATAATTTAATGTTTCTTTTCCACGTGATAACTCCAGCCTTTAGGTTCTTTCTAGGTGTTGAGTTTTAATCCACCAATTAAACAAGTCTAAGGAGACTTCTTTCACCTTGTTCACCCATAGCTGTAAATAATACGACTATACAAGATTCTTCACTACAAGGACCGTCATCATCAACTTAATAGTCACAATATCCTCGATTTTAAAGCATAACGAGGAATACTAACTTAGAAATGCGAGCATGTATTTCCTTATCAGAAAGTAAAAGTAATGGTGTCCGTATCAGGATCATCATAAGATATTTCCATTGCCATACCACCCACGGATTTTGTTCAGACAAAGCCAATAGTTCTATCCTTTCTGCTTAATCTCTGATTATTAAACTTGTGAAAATGTTTTCCACATTTTCTGATGTATGTGAAATTAAAATTGATCGACAAAAAATGTTTTTCTGGTTGAATTAGCTATGTTAATTTGAATAAAGATGTTTTCTTCATTTACATATGGGAATTTTATTTTGTGCAAAACCACAATTAGCCACTAGATAACCACTACCTATCACCACCCTGCCAGTGATGACATCAAACACAGACCACCGACCAACGAACACCAGTCAGTGACCAGTAACTACCCTACAGCTGCCTGAGAACACATTGCAGTCATTGACATCCATGAACCAAGCATTGGCAACACCATCCAGTAGTCTTAAATTAGTGAACCATCTGTGCAGACTGTCACCAGTCCCTGACCAGTGACCACCATATACTAGTCAACGGTAACAGCTAGATGGTCATCAGAAACCATGACAAATTGCACAAGACCCCCATGGTTATTAGCATTTACTGGCTATTGCTAGTAGTCAGCAGCTCAAAGATAAAGGTATCACAAAGTTGCTTTTTCCCAAAAATATTTTCCCCAGATAATTTTTTCAAACCGAAAACATTTCATGTGAAGCAGTTAGAGCCTTAACATGGATAGAATATTGATATTTGATTTTAACTCAAAAAAGAAAATAAATAAAAACTGAGAAGTTGCCAATATAACTTGACTTTCCCAGATTACAAAAAATGAGTTGCATTATAAATTTTATCTCATTTCATAGTTCTTGAGCAAGAGGGTTGATTTCAAAGATACATAAGCAGGTCCATTTTATTTCTACCAAATAAAATCTCTTGAGCATTTCCTCTTTTTTCTTTTTTTCCTTTTTTTATGACAGTCAAAAAGAGACTCAAAATTTCTTCTAATGCAAAAAAGAACTAAATACTGAATTCTATCAACCAAGAAATCAAGAACTTTACCAGGCAAGCATTGCTGAAGATAATCCAATTGTGTCTTCACACCTAACCATGTGCAAAAACAAAAGAAAAAAAAAATTCTTAAAATAAATCAAAAATCACCTAAAAAAACAACAGTAGAACCGCCATTGTCACTGTTTTGAAGGATAAATCTTAAGGATTTCTGAAAACAAACGAAACCGATCTCCAAAAGGTAAATCCAAGCAGGGCCAGATACAATAAACAATTAAGATCCAGAAATATATTTGTTTTCCGACTAACTCATCAAGCACAAACCTTGTTGGGTGCAAAGAATCATTGGAGAGTAACTGGTGATGACTGTAACACACAAATCCTTCCTCTTATCCCATGAATTTGGGCTGTCTTCTAGCTGATCTTCAAGAAGATTAAAGGTCATTACAGTCAAAGAAACGCTCATTTTTCTTAATTCTTTATTTCACTTTCCATGTAATATGTAAAAGGAAAAAAAAAACCCGCGTATTGAAGAAGAAAAGAGTGCAAGATGAAGTGGGACGTTGCTGTTTGCAAAGCTCGGGATTCGAAGGTGAGTCAAAAAGCCAAGTAAAAAAGATCTGAGATATGGAGGAATAAAAATCAAATTGGGTAAATGCCGAAAAATTCTGAGTCATGTCGTCCTGCGTTCTTGACTCTCTCTCTCTCTCATTATACAAGAGTAAAGTGTCATGTTAAAAATTGAAATAACACAGGTCAATTTGATTTTGATCATTATTTTCGTATTTATGATAACGCACAAAAATAAAAAGTGCCTATCCTCAAGTTATTCTACAATATTGTAGTGTTGAAGAGTTCTCTGATCTTAAATTGATCATAAAGAGAATGTGTAATCAGTCTTTATCAATAAACGTCCTCGAAAATGACGTGTATAGAACAACTTAACTCAGTTATATCACATACATATTATTTCCATCATTAATTTTAGCGCAAAATTTTAAATTGGATGTCGTTAGTAAAATTAACGTCTGTGTTCATTTTTCCAGGGCAGGGGGTGGTAAACTATACTGAGGCAAGTTGGAGAACAATCTGTAGTATTTTACATCACATTGTGCATACAGAAACATGGGATATTTTCATTTACCCAGGAACAAGGACATTGACGATGGGGCCAAAAAAAGTAACTTTTCATTATTTAAAGGAACTGTAACGAGAGTTCACAACACCAGGACGCAGCAACGGCCTCGTTTTATTCTCTAACCATCTTTATTAGTATAACTCGACACCCCAGCATCGAACAACCTCAATAAGAATTTTCCATTTTTTCTCGACTTGACTTCAGATATAACTTGTATTTGCCTTCTGAGCAGCCCCAACGACACCCAATCTAAGAAGAATTCTTCAGAACCCATGTAACCAGTGTCGAAATACCAAAACTGGTTGCAATTTTCTTCTTATCATTCCAAACCGGCCCAGCCACGTCAATGTGCATCCACTGGACCTTCTCATCAACAAACTGCAAATACAGAGTTACATGTCAGATGCCTTTACTGAGAGACTAGAGAACAACTTACAGTCTCAGACATGCTTTCGTTTCTCATTTTATTAGTCGGAGCTCATTTGGGTTGCCCCCACCCCCACAAGCTTTATGAGGTATACATTTAGAGAACTTTTAGAACATCTTTGGCACGCAATACAATAGACAAGGTTTAACGTTTTTCCTTCCTTAATAGTGCCTAGTATTGTATGGTCCACTTAACAAACAAATTCTTAGGGTACACAGCATTCATAGAGGCTAGAACTGGGATAACTTTGGAATATAACACGTATGATCTAATAATTTTTTCTAAGAAATTCGGAAGAATGATGAAAGAAAAAAATCTGTTTTCATGAAGTGCAGAGGTTCATTAGTTATGAAATAAAAAAAGCAGTCATTAGTAGAAAACTAGGGGAAGGGAAAAATATAATTTAAGGAAAGGCGAGAAGAGAATCTATGCAATCATATCTAGACCTTCAGATGAACTAAAATGTCCAATGATCCATAAAAAGTTTCCATATCCCCAAGAACAGATCCAGTGGAGATGGAGTGGGGGCGATTCTTTCACCATTTGGAGTGTTAGTTTGCCTACTAAAAAATCACCTGCCTCAAGTGGTCAAAATTTGATATAAATGTCTCCAAATGAGTATCAGTTGCTGCGACGCTGAAGTAACCCACGCCCATACACAAACTAAACTCCCACCGATGTATCTACAACCCATGAACATAGCCGATACTAAGCTACATGGCAGCATCCAATTTTTCCATATTCAATCAAGTGATTTCCTCTGAAAAAAGGAACATAACAAGATTTTTTTATTTTATTTTTTGCCATCAGCCCATTGGTCAAATTTTGAAATCCCTTTAGTAATTGCCAATATTCTCGATCTGAAATCAGCCTACTTGCTATAAGAACTGTTCCANAATTGGGAAATTGTCTTCTTATGGCCTGACTTTTGTACTTCAATTCTGCAGAATTTGTTGAATAAAAAAATTAGCAAATGTCGATTTTTTGCTCCTTCAACGGTCTGAATTATACTGGACCGTGCGCCCAAAAAGCTTAAAAGGTAAAACAAACTTAATAATGACTAAATGCTTCTTCAGCATGGAATAAGGGTGCGGGGGGAGCTATACCTGCTTCAAGAAAAGAGCTGCAGTGATGGAATCACCTTGGCGACTACCGGTGTTAACCATATCAGCCAGTCCAGATTTCATGGACTCCCAATAACTTTCCACCAGGGGCATCCTCTAAAGTTTTTCCCCACTAACCTCCGAGGCTGCAAGTACCTCATTTGCTAGGTCATCACTGGGTGTAAAAACACCTGATCTTTTATATCAAGAATAAGTCAGTGCAAGGATCTTCACAAGGAATCTCCATGTTCAGAACATTTTATGAATTTCAAATTGTGAAAGAAACCAAAAAATCTATCGGGTTGGAGGTGGTTCTCAAAAAATAGAGGACAAATAAGATTTATAAATTACATACCAGCAATAGAGGGTCCAAGAGACACAAGCCCCAGTCAATGTGGCCAAATCAACGATCTGCAAATGATTAAAAGAACATATCAAAATCTGAAGTGAACCCTAAAAAAGTGTGAACTTATTCAGAGGTTTTAAATTTTTGTATCGTATATCTCGTGTCTTTTAGGTATTCATTCAAGAAAATGAAATACATGGACAATTGATGAGAGAATAAAACCCATAAAAATGGTGTTTTCCGAAGAGATGCAGAGTAGAGGCATGTAAGTGTACCTTCTCCACTCCTTGATTGCAAGCATATACCAAAGCATCTGCAAGTGTAAGTCTTCCTTCAGCGTCAGTATTGTTTACCTGACATGGTTAAAGAACTAACCAAAGAGTCAAAGTACCTTACGGAAGACTAAAAGCACGTTGGCTAAGCTTAAAAAGAAAGTAAAAGTAACATTTAGCCTCTAAACAAGTTTGAATAACCTACTTTTTTCTTTCAAGTAAAAAAAAAGGTTACTTTTTGGAAGTAAGTCTTCCCTTAGTGACAAAGTAAATACTTACTTATTTCCAACATGTGCCACAAATAGAATTATTTATTTTGAAATTTATTCACTTATAAGAAGATTTTAGTCTAAGTGAACTTTTTAATTATCAGATAGACTTGCAATTAAAACCATGCCATGTACAACAATAAAGCAATTTCTGTCTAGTACGTCATTCTGCAGTTAATTGGAGATATAATGCCAAACCATTAAAGAAGACAGGTTATAACAGAACTTAACACTGGAATCTGGAAAACTAGCATAAAAAGCTCAGGTTGAATTCTAGAAATGTATTAAAGACAGGTGCTAGTGCAAATTCATTAAACTTCAAACTTGAGATATCCAAACATAAGAAAAGCATCTTTTTCAAACATTTTTCATTGATACAATGGGGTAATATAATTCTTCGTAACATAAAGTGTTAACATGCACAATGAACTATTCCTAAGTATTTAAATGCCAAATGCAGATGTAAAAATATTCTCAAGCAATTGGTTAAAAGATTTATTGCGTACACATCCCAACACTTGGGTCAGAAAAAAGCATCATATACAAGCAATTCAATGTGGTTAAAAGAATCCTTATAACTGCAAGGACATTTATAAATGGAGTAAAGAGATCCTAACTTTCTATCTTTTGTCCATTCTACCCGGTGGAAATGTCATGAACAGGAGGAATTGTAAATGAGAAACACAAAGCAGAGAAGGAAAGGGGTGTGCTTTAAAAAATAAGTAAGAGCATAGAAATTTATGTGCAAAGCAGACATTGACTGAGTAACACATAAGAGCTTCTGCCAGATGACAGGGTTGTTCAACAATATGAAACTGAATATTAAAACTTTAAATTCTATCTGCATGTTAACCAAATCCAGATTCATTGTGTAGGTACGCTTAATTTCAGTTGTGAGGATAAAAAACTGTATACCAAAAACTGAGACGAAATATTTTTATTTTTATCAATAAAATGAATGTTCTAAAAAAAAGATGGAGAAAATCCAAAACTCATATCATCCAGACTCATTACAGATCATCTAATATCAGTTGTGAGAATAAATGTTATGTAGCATAATATATTAAAGAGAAAAATTAAGCGAAAAGTTTTACCTTTTGCAATTGAGAGCATGAACATTTAAAAGAAAATATTCACAAAATTAACTAAGAATTAACGACACAGGATTGTCCTAGAGTAAAATGAAGAAATTACCTCAATTGTCTTTCCATTTGATGCTGTAATAATATCTCCGGGCCTCATACCTGTTCCACTTATCATATTTTCACAAGCAGCAACAATGAAATGAACCTGCATAAATATCACTTATTATCAGGTTTTCTAATCAATTTCTAAATGTGTTATCTGAGACATGATGAATAGATATTTTAACTAACAGTATAGCCGGATGAAACGAGAATAAGGCGTTCATAAACGTGAAAATGAATCAAGTCCATAAACCAGCACGTTGTCCTTGAAACAATAACAAGAAAAAGAAATGAGTCACCTCTACTCCAGCAGGCTTGATTTGACCAAGAGCCTTTGCTGCACCCAATACGGCTGCTGAACCTCCCATGTCCAATTTCATGAGCTCAATGGAACAACTTGGTCCTGTCTTGATATTGTAGCCACCACTGGAACATAAAAGAGGAAAATTTCAGAAGACTTCGCACTACTGAGGACCCCCATTAAACACAATGAAAATATTTCATTTCAACCAGATTTCAGAAGGAATACCTTAAAATGTAAGTAAATTTTATAATACATATTTATTCACCTGTCAAACATCAACCCCTTTCCAACTAAGGCCAGCTTGGTTTTGACTGTTCCCCCTGGAGGCCTGTAACATAAGTGGATAAAATGCGGGGGATTAGCAGATGCTGCTGCAACACCGAGATAAGAACCCATTTTTAATTCTTTGCACTGCTCTACATCCAAGATTGTTGCAGAAAGAACATCACTGTGCTCAGAAGTAATCCTTTTGGCCTCTTCTGCTAGTATTCCTGACATATCCAATTAACTAAATTAACAAGGCATATTTTACCCCGTGAGGAGACCGAGGCAATAAACAAATATACAATTTAAGAGGTCATAGGAAAAATTATCTCACCTTGATTACACACAAACAACTTTCCACAATAATTGCTCTTTCATAAGCAATGTAAAGTAATCAAAAAAAGAAATAGGATGATAAGAAAGATAACTAACCAGGGGTGAGTACATTAGCAGGTGCATTTACTAGCTCTTTTCCAAAAATTATCCCAGAACAAACCTTTTCTGCATATTTGAGTTTCTTCTCTATTTCAGGTCCAGTACCAAGACCAAGAATATCCACTGATTTGAGACCCTGTTTCTTCGACTCTGACTTGAATCTGTTGTCTTCATAAGTCCCCAATAAAGCTCCTTTGGCATTTGAAACATTCCCCTAAAATTAATTCAATGAAGTAGCAACAAACTGACGTTGCAGGTCAAACGAAAGAGAAGTAATCTAGAAAAAGTACCAGTAGCTATGGCTGAAGCTAAGCTTAGCTTTGATTCTGTAGTGAGCTCTCCAGAAGAAGCAAGTGTGATGGCAACATTACTTGCCTGAGCAGACTTAGCTGCCGCAGAAACAGCCTCACCAAGACTGCGATACTGATGTCACTGATCCAAGACCAACTAGACATACCCTTTTCAATCCAAGATTGGGAAGCCTAAGAACTGTTGACTGTCCAGCCTTTCCAGTAAAATCCTCCTCTGATGATGCTTCAGACAACAAACCACCTAATTGGGAATCTAGCTTTTGCAGGATTAAATTCTTGAACTTTGAATTCTCGTCCTTGGTCAAGTCCGTCTCTGTTGTGCCTACTGCAAGTATGTCTCCTTTCCATTCTAACAAATCAATCTCTTTTGCCGCAAATGAGATCTTCAATCATTCAATAATACAGGACAAATTTAGTGATGCGGCAACCACTAATTCCCCCAAAATTAAACACACAAAGCTATATATATACACAAAAACCAAGATAATTCGTTCTTGAGAATGTACAAAGTGATTGAAACTTGGAACATTCAAGACACAAATACCTCCAAGAAAAATCATAATAATTTTTAAAGAAGAACGAAGCAGACATATTTGACTTCTTTCAGAATGTATCTACAAAAAATCGGTGAAACATTAAAAATATCTCTCCGTATCATCAAATCCCCTCTGTATTAATGGACATTTAGGAACCTAATAATATAAACATCACATACAAACTCTAATTCAAAGAACCAATCAAGATTCGAAAACTCGAGACTCTGCATTCGCGTGAACAAAGATAAACCCATTAAATCTTAGTCGGTTTACTCCAGGAAGCCATTGATCTCAGCATAAATCCAGATGAACTCTGAAGATTATCTTAATCTTAAGCAAAACAAATACTATCAATACAATGAAAATGAAAATTATTCAATTACATGATTACTTGACAGTAAAAAGAATACCTTTAGAGGCTCGATTTGGTTAGGTCGTGTGAGGCCAAGAGTGGCTTTGGCAATTGAGTGAGCCATTCGCTTTGCCCTTCTGGAAGAGAGTGGTGATACTGTAATGGAGAAATACCAGATGGGTCCACATCGAAAATTCGTGTATATATCGAGGGGCAAGGGTGATGATAAAGCTTGCTGGGTGAGAAAAGAATAATCCAAGGACTATAGTAACCAAGAAGTAGAAGTCAAAGCTTGCTGAGTGAGAGAAGATATTCCTTCGCGGCCATTTGTAACGTGTCAGTCTCTATGTATAGACGGGGTCTTGCTACCATTTGAATTACACTTTGGATTGCTCGACCCACCACCTCCCTCACATGGGAGTTGGGTCCCACACATTTATTGGATGTGGGACCCGACCTTTATGTGAGAGAGGAGATGAGGTCGGGTAATTTAAAGTGTAAATCAAAGTGGTTGAGTAGCATAATTCATAGTTATAGAGACAAGTAACAAGTGTCCATCAGAGTGAGGTGTAATGGATGGGGCTTGTTTGGCAGGACCTTATAATTAATTATTAATGAGAAAAAAGTAAAAACATATTTCGTATTATATTATTTAAATTTTCCTATCAAATATAACATCGATATATGTTGTATGTCGAATTGAAATGTATATTATGGTGATTGTTTCGCATTATGATAATTTGAGGTCTATTTTTCTTTTTCTTTTACTAAATAAATATATGTGCATTGACTTTAACTACAAAAGGAATTTTGTAGTTAAAGAAGCTAGCATTTTTCAAGATTGAAAATATAATTTGATTATGTTTTTTATTTTCTACATATTTTATCTAATTTTCTATTGGTTAATATATTTTATTTGAATATGCTACACAAGCATATTCAATGACAGGGATTAAAAACAAGGGGGACACATGACGCAATATCATTAAATAGTTTGAAAAAAAAAAAAAATTAGTCACAGCACATGTCCTTGCCCTGTTTGCAGAGCCTGTTCGAGGAGCATTATTTATTTTATTTTAATATTTGAAAGTACCAGTCATGCTCTTCGAGATACTTCTCAATGTATCACATCCCATTCAACATACAAAGTATGTTATTTTTGTTTATCCACTGTGTTGTGGTCGAAATTAACCTTTGAAAAAACACCTTCATCCAAAATACATAGAGAAAATTAAACAACCTTTTACTAAAATATTTGAATAAATAAGAAGATATAACAAAATGAAATAAACCAAATTAAATGGATAATCTCACCAATTGAAAAAGAATCATTCTCAAATCTTAAAGTTGTCACCGTCAATCTTCGTCTTTCCATATTCAAAAGTATATCTGTCATCGAGACATAAGTAATACCAATGTAGCTTGAATTTTCCCTAAGTTGCCTAACAGTCCACAATTGAGTTGATCAAAAGCGTTACATCTAGGCTGTCTCTCGTGCACACGATCGCCTCGGGCCCCTTTTGATGAGTTGCACTAACTTGTATAAACCAGAAACCTCACGAAGCCAGTGGCCAAGCCACTTGAGGAATTAGGATGCTGAAGCCCATTGTCAATCGACTGCCCAATCACAACCAAGGACAAACAAAGATCACCATGGTTCTTCATTAAGTACCATAAGATGAGCCGAGATTTCCTCAAGATGATCCATGATTTTTGTATTTGGATTCCCAACTTTCCTTCGCTACTAATTTTACAGTCACAAGTCTCTTCTTTCAGCATGGAAGGAGCCTTGAAAATAACAAATTGTCTCCTTAATAATGGGAATTTTATCTCCATCTATAGTCTCTTGCTGCACGTCCTTTTTGGTGAAAATAATGTCATTTATAGTCGGCAATTGTAGTATTCTTATTATTGGACAGTTTGTTATTTGAGACATTAATTTCCTGTAATTTAGTTACTTCAAATAACAAGTTAATATCTTAAGAAAATGAAATAGTCAAACGGGTGTTTGATATATGCCACATATAATGTCAAATAAGATGACTACGGTAGTAACTGAATATTAAAAAAAAAAAAAAAACAATATTAAAAAAAAAAAAATGACTGCCCAATCACAACCAAGGACAAACAAAGATCACCATGGTTCTTCATTAAGTACCATAAGATGAGCCGAGATTTCCTCAAGATGATCCATGATTTTTGTATTTGGATTCCCAACTTTCCTTCGCTACAAATTTTACAGTCACAAGTCTCTTCTTTCAGCATGGAAGGAGCCTTGAAAATAACAAATTGTCTCCTTAATAATAGGAATTTTATCTCCATCTATAGTCTCTTGCTGCACGTCCTCTTTGGTGAAAATAATGTCATTTATAGTCGGCAATTATAGTATTCTTCTTATTGGACAGCTTGTCATTTGAGACATTAATTTCCTGTAATTTAGTTACTTAAAATAACGAGTTAATATCTTAAGAAAATGAAATAGTCAAACGGGTGTTTGATATATGCCACATATAATGTCAAATAAGATGACTACGGTAGTAACTGAATATAAAAAAAAACATTATTCAAGAGAAAATGTTTGTTAGTGTGACATAGAAAGTAGAAGAGATGGGACTGTGACGGAGAAGATGATATTTTAAGAGTCAATACTTGAAGATTTTTAGGATTTTGACTGTATTTTTATACATTGGAATATCTATATCTTTGACCGTCTGTGACTGTTTTCTTTTGTAGACAAATAAAGGAAGTAGTCCTGATTCCCAATAAAACCAAACCTACGAAGAAAACTGATGTAGCTAAAATGAATGAAGCAATGACAACCCATTTTGAAGAATTTGAAAATCTTTCTTTAAATTTTTATCTACATCATCTCAAGAATCATCCAATGAAGTAACTATATGTATTTCATAAATCCAAATCCCTGAATACATATGAGCGTTGCAGGCATGTTCAATATACTGTTTGCAATCGAACACATGCATCAGCAAGAAATCCATCCTCGTTGATGGCTAAAACAAGATTTTTTTGAATACGTTACCTCTCTCTAACAATTTAAACTTCGAAATGATTTGATTAAAATGATATCAAAGCCATGAAAAGAATTCAAACCTTGCCACCCGTTTATGATATTTTGCACATTCGGTCGAACCAATTTGTAGAATAATTTCGAGCGTTTGTGACTATTTTATACCAATTTCATCTGACAAAGACAATATATAATTTCAGATTTTTTGTACACTATTTCCATTTTTGCCCTTGTCTCCACTGGTTGCATACACAGCAGTTGTCAGGCAATATAATTGAAACATCATGTATCACAAACAACAAAAAAAAGGCGTGAAAAAGGAAAAACAAAAATTATTCTACACATTCCGATCAACTAGGTGAGTACACTTGGGCCCTGTAGATGTGACAGAAAAATGCATTATTTAGGCCATAAATGTGCCCAAACAAGCGCATAATACATTCAATAAAGCTCCAAGTTCAAGAAAATTTTGGTAGAATTGATACTGACGCTGAAGTGGCCAAATCTGAATGACCTGTTGTTGTTTTTTTCCCCCCATCTTCCAATGGTGGCCAAGTGTCGTGTGACAAAATTTCCAGTCAAAAAAATTTGTACCTATAGCATGATTGTAATACATTTGGTCAAAAAACACCTGATTCATTTGATCCACACTCATGTACAAAGTTAACCAAAATCAGTTTCAAGCACTACCACAATAACCAACCTACTCCGAATTACCAATTCTAAAGCTGAAAAAATAGAAAATACAAGGAAAAAGAAAGAGTAAAGAATCAAATAAGATTATTTGAAGTCAGATACTTCCATTAAGAGAGTTGCATCAATAATCTACTCTTCCAGTGGTGTTCACCTCACTTTGAAGCGCACATTTAGTTTTGACTAGGCTTTATTTCAAGTCCACGCTCACAAGGTATTGATCAGATCCCACTTTTCTCTCTCACCCAGATTCAATATCATTAATTTGCAAATTGTCCGCGGAACCAGAAGCAGTAGCAACAAGAGAATCGCTCGTTGGGCCCTGAGTTTTCTTCGGAACTGGCATGTCATGATCATGTACTCCTGTGTATGATGCTATTACTGCACTAGAACTATCTGTAGCCCTTTCAATGTGCTTTCGAACAGGACATCCTGCTGATGTACATCTGTAGTAGTTCCTGGATAATAGACTTCCAAATCTCAGCATAATGGTCAAGACTTCTAAATGACAGCCATAATCCAAATAATAAATTTTACATTAGGATTAGAGTGCAAGGTTCAGAACAGAATGAGCCTCTCCATTCACTGCGTACTTTTACATGCCGCAAAGTACTAAAGAACCCTCCAATTTATGGTCAAGTCATAGTGTCAGGCTTTAATAGGCTTGTGTATTTGCCACGTTCTACTGTTGACAACTTGACATTAGCCTTTTGCTTTACTATTCTAAGATTCACATGCAGAATGTACCAATTTGAGCATGTCTTGAACGAAGTGAAATGGATTAAACTCAGTGCAGAGACAAGAAGAATACAATAAATTCCCATTTGCTTATTATGTCAGAGGAGCAGGAAAAATATGTCAAGGTTAGAGGTAGTGATGTGATTGTAGAAAGGCAGTCAACTAAAGTTGTAATCAGGATGATAGCTCCAACTCCAAACAGGGGCCTATTTCCTTCTCATTTTATTTAATTTGCATCTGTCTACAGTTGTAAACCAGTTGCAGATATCTCTCTCTTTATTCAAGATGCGGAAAGAGCATCTTATGCACAGTAAAAGATGAAAATCGTTAGCCAACTTCGCCAGTCAGTGTTACCATCATGTTGTTCTGAAATTAAACTAGAGTCAGCTATGAGCACACTGATGGTCAACTTATATTCCAAGGACAGAGAAAGAATGCATTTTTATGGAAAGTTTTGAATGTTTATTACAGTTATCTCTTCTGGGCAGGGATTTAGTGCCAAACTCACAAAAGTCAACCTTCTAATATTATATTTATATGCTCTCTCTCTCTCTCTGGGTGTGTGTCTGTCTGAACATAAGAGGCCTTGCAATGTGCATGTGCACCCGTGCAAATACATGTGTTTATTCTATTCATTATGAGGATGTTGAGCTAGCCTCCCTGACTTTAAAGTGTTCATGTATTGGTACCACCAAGTCAACTCTCCAAGCACATGTCATTTCTGCAACTTAATGACATTTTTTTTCCATGTTTTTTACTGTAATTTTACAAACTCTGGGCCTGGGTCTAAATTGCATGTGCATCAATTATGAAATTCTATGTCAGAGAGATACATGTGCACTGCCAACAACAATAATTTTTTATAAAGTGAATAATACCTAAAATATTTATACACGGATTCTGCAGCATTCGTTAGATTGCTATAAATATGTAATCTCTCTAATGATTTATCACAAAGTACTGTTTAAATATTTACATAGAGATCCCATGTCTCTATTGTGCCTTCTCTAATAAACAGAACCTGCAATCCAAAGTCACTGAGTTGTACGTTGTCAAAATACAATCTAGTTACGTTACTATGGAGATCAAGGTTGGAGGGGTCACTCGAACAAATATGGAAGAACGTTTTCCAGAAATCAGATAAAGTTAAGTATTAATCACAAGTAAAGAAAATAAAGTATACAAAGATTTCATGTGTGCTATTCAAAGAAGTGAATATTATTTTGAAATAATGAATGACTAAAAAGACACTGCATCATTCTTTAGGAAGCTCTAATTTTTTTTCATTTTTTTTTTGATACCCATAAAAACTCATTACCTATGGGAATTTCTCTAGAATACATGGATTAGAGGAGTCAAGTTTGTTTCTAAAAAGAAATCATGTTCTTTTTAGATCAAGAGCCAGCTTGTTTGGGAGATGAGTCCCCTTCAAATTCTACAATAAACATTCAGTACCTTCTTGTGCTATCATAATCTCTCCCTCACTTTAATCTTCCTTTTTCTTTGGTTCAATTTTTCTAAGTTGTCTATGCCATATTTACCATTACAAACTGTTGAGTTAATCGAGGGCCCAAAACATATAACTAACAGATCTTTACCACCATGCATCGTGCTCTACAAGACTAGCTACTAATAATGACGTCATACATACTTGAGTATGTCTATGCATGCCTTTACTTTTCCTTATTTTTTCAGAAGGGGGTGAGAGGTGAGTTTGAAATGTAATTATTTATGCAGGTTAGCACTCATGCACCTCAGGTTCGTAAAAATTTCTAACTTAAAAAATAACCTTAAACTATGAAAAATTAGAACAAGCAAGCGATTTGGGGTTGATTTGCAGAAGAGACAGAGATGTGGAGGAGTTTGACAGAATCTATCATAAATGAAGACTGTATTGAAGTTTCTAATAGTTCCCAAAAACTGGGCAGTTAGGGAAAAAATTAATGAAATAAATCTAATCTACGTGTTAGTGTCGCAATGTAATATAGAAAACTGGGAATTCACCTTGGGTGAAGGTTCCCTTTCACCATCTTCTGTCCATACTTGCGCCATCTGTAGCCATCTCCTGATATCCCCACATCACCAGCCTCCTCAACAACAGTTTTAGGTTTCTTTCCAGGTTTGGCGATGGTTAACATATCACCGGTGACACTTTTCTTCTGCCTGGCAATTCAAAGACGTGAAATAGTATCAGATCTATCTGCTAGCAATCTATCATCTGGAAAAGAAACATAGGTAACCTAAACTGAAAGGCAATGGTTGTCACTTAATCAGCAACTTGCCTTTTTTTAAGTTCAAGTTCATTAACATGTTTTTCCTTGGT